GAACCCGCGACTCTCAGATTGCGAGTCGAGAGCCCTAACCACCTGGCCATGCAGAGCCCCCAAAGTACGGAAACGCTTTTTGTTTAATATTTAATTTGTATTATGGACCCACAGATCTATATTGTCCGGCACGCCTAGCACACACTTGGTGTGACTTGCATTGATGCTCTGTTTCACTTTCCGTGTTTTAAAGGCCTGTCACGAAGTGTGAATTTATAGCATGCTTACGTTTGCAATGTTATAATTCAACAATAATTTTATTACATCATTAGTGGATTTGTGGCGTAGTCAACTTGCGGCGAAACAAAACCATATTTAGTTTTAGTACCTCTTGTCGTAATGCTGTCGTAGAATGTTTTATTCGGTTCCAAAATGTACATATTTTTCTTGCAATAAACCATTGGTATAGAAACTGTAATTGGAACATTTTTACTTTTTTTACATACATATTTACACGCTGTTTATTTTTAGCGCTTTAGTAGCCCCACCCCCCTTTCGTAATTAGTACAGCGGTAAGTCTGTAGGTTTATAACACCAAAAATCGGGTTTTGATACCCTGGGCGGGCAGAACACAGAAAGCTAACTCTGTAGCTTATCGCTTAACAACAAGCAAACGAACAAAGCGTTTCAGTAGCGTTAACTCCCCCCCCCCCTAGGTGTTCAGCGGTTAGTCTGCAAGCTGACGAAGCTAAAAACCTGGTTTCGATACCTGTGGTGGTCAGAGCACGGAGAATCCATTGTGTTGCTTTGCGCTTAACAACAACGAAATTAAAGTGATGAAAATCAAAGCATTTTTTTTTAGGCTTAAGCGACGAAATTGTGATTTATAGCGTATTTCTGCTAGTCAGAATGGCATACTTCGAATCGAAGAGCCCGGGTTTCGAGACGTGATGCCATTGCACACACTGCACTTTTAACTACAGGCGCGTTATAAAAGTAATAATCAATTCCTTCTTGCTGGTCGATAGTTCAATATATACCTGAATCTTAGGGTTAACAAACCCGACCTTTTAACTCGTATTTCTCTTTCTGATGGAATTAAACTACTTATATATATATATAGAGAGAAATAATATACAGAGTTGTTGCGAGATGTTCAGTGGGAGTTCTCAAATACCTTGACCTATACGATACTGATAATAATTGAAATTTGTTTTATAACATTGGTAAGTTCTTTTCCTACATCTTGTATTTGCTTTTCTTTCTTTCTAGATGTGTCGCGTAACAGTTCCTTCGCAGTTAATCTGGGGTCCCAGTTCTTTCGTCCCACTAGATGAGGCAAGTATCTTTATAACTGTTTTATATATATGTGACCGTATTAAAGTTGTAGTTGTTAAACAGATCGTGAAATGTATATATATATATATTGTTGTGTAATACAAGTATTAGTTTATATTACCTAGTCCAAAATTACATTATCTATATCTATAATCTTGTTTCATCCAGGATTATCAATTAATCCTTACCTTGAATCTTATACTTAATTCGTACGTGAAACCTTACCTCAGTAACATAGCTTGTTATTGGATTTACGGCCGAAAAAAAAAATGGTTAATATCGTGAGTTTACCCAGTTGATTAATTAATGCATTTTAATCATTAAAGGTCTTAGTTTTTGCATGCTTATTAATATAACAACGTGCACTGCTAGTATGTTTGATATATTGTTTGTTATGGATTTCGCGCAAAGCTACACGAGGGCTATCTTCACTATTCATCCCTAATTTAGCAGTCATATACTAAAGGGAAGGCAGCTAGTCAACACTACTTTTGTTGTTGTTGTTGTTTTTTAACAAAGCCACACCAGGCTATCTGCTGTGTTTACCGCAGGTATCGAATCCCGGATTTAGCGTTATAAGTCCATAAACTTAACGAGGTACATAAAAGGAAGAGTCAGATCTCGTGCTACCACATAATCTTCTGAAGACAGTAGCAAATTAATAGCCGGATCTTAGTATATGAACCAATGGCAGTTAGTGAGTAATTAATAATAAGAAATTAGGCTTAGATGATCCTTTAGGTTACTATACAATTAATTTTTTTCTTCTTCTTCTTCTTCTAGGCCATTTCACCGTCAACCAACAAGCGAGAAGTAAGTGATAATGTTTTTTTTAGGTCCGGTTACTTTATTGACTGATTTTAACAGATTTTTTTTATTGTTATTATTTTGAGCTGGAGCAAGGACTTTGGAAACTTTAAAATATTAATTGCTAATTCTATGCAATCAAATACGCTAAACAATATACATATCAGTCTTAAGAGTGAAATTTTATATCCTAATACGCAGTGTCGTCGGGTGGTGGGGATATTGTTGCGTTGCCTGGAGATCATCCGCGGACAAAGCAGGTCTGATTCTGTGATGGACATCGCTTTCAGTTTAAAAAACGTCATCTTTGGAAGATGGTTCTAACACTGGAACGATTATATCTTATTTCTCCCGCTACAGGCTTGGCACGGCCTGATGGTTAGGGCGCTCGTCTCGCAATCTGAGGGTCGCAGGTTCGAATCCCCGTCACCGACGAAAATGTTCTTTCAGCCGTGGGAACGTTCTCCACTATTCGTTGGTAGAATAGTAACCCAAGACTTAGTGGTATTGACCAGCTGCCTTCTCTCTAGTCTATCACTGCTAAATTAGGGACGGCTAGCGCAGATAGCCCTCGTGTATTTTTGCGCGAAATACGAAACAACACCAAAATTCAAAACAATATCCCGTACCTACTCCCACCGCTGAGCGTGCATTTAGTACATTGCGACACATTAAGTCAAATCTTAGAAACACCATGTGTCACTGCTGAGCGTGCATTTAGTATATTGCAACACATTAAATCAAATCCTAAATATACCACGTGTCACTGTTGAGCGTGAATTGAGCACTTTGCGACACATTAAATCAAATCTTAGAAACACCACGTGTCACTGATGAGCGTGAATTGAGCACTTTGCGACACATTAAGTCAAATCTTAGAAACACCACGTGTCACTGATGAGCGTGAATTGAGCACTTTGCGACACATTAAGTCATACCTTAGAAGCAGCATGTGTAATTTCTGAGCGTACATGTAACACATTGCGACACATAAGTGATATCTTAGAAGTTCTAAGAACTAACAGAGATTTAAATCTTTATTAACTTTAAACGTCCGTAGAGAGTATTGTACTTTTAACATTCCAGCAGTACTGGTGATTTGATTAGAACTGGAGACATGCGAAATGCCTTTAGTTTATCCTGACTTGAATTTATCGACTTTTAAAAAACTGGGGGGGCATTTAAAATAAGATGTTTCATGTGGACGATTAAATAATATATTTCGTATGTTTTATTTTTCTTAGATATAGATAGATATACAACAACAGGCTATTTGTGATTAGTAAGTAAAGAACACTCCATTATACACACACGCACAAACTTTAACGTACTACAGGCTGTACCAACCTTTTGGGGGAGGGGGACCGAATCCCTAATTGGAAATTTTTGACAGGCTGGATAAATGGATGTCATTATTACTTTATTTCGAGAGCCCCCCCTCCCTCTCACTCCCAGTGGCACAGCGGCATGTCTGCGGGTTCACAACGCTAGAAACCGGGTTTCGATATCCCTGGTGAACTGAGCACAGGTAGCCCATTGTACAATTCTTTGACGGGTCAGATATAATCCTCAGTTGGGCCACGTTTTGAACATCATTTGTAGATTTTGAAATATATAACTTCCTTTCTTGCACTCTCTAGAAAGTTTAATTGATGGAATAGAATCAATAGATAAAATCATGAAAAAATAGAATAAAAATATTCATGTGCAGTAACTTCTTCTAATTCGTACATTTTTAATATTTTCTAGACTGTTTCTCACGTCTACATTATATAGCTCTTTCTGGAAAATATCCATAAGACTATATGACGATTGTGTACAAGCAACTTATTTGTGCTATTTTCTTCCCTTACGTCATTAATCACGTTATTTCTGTACCTTCGGAACAGCACTCGACCTGCCTGATGTTTTTTTGTTTTGCAATAGACATGGTTATAAATACGTGTTGCACGTGGCTGTCGGATTTTATGGGCTTGTTGTTAAGTTGTCACTTTCTCCTGTGGCAAGGAATGACTAAAATGTAGATAATGATAGCACGAAGTCCGTGACGAAGTTGGCCTACCCTGTTTCTCAGATTCCACAAATAAACTTGTTACTGTCTACATAAGTTGCAAGTTGAAACTTCCAAGTAATTAAAAGTATACGTGTAGAATATACTTTGCCCGTTGGGCAATTTAGTTTTTTTTTTTTTTCGTTCTATTGGTTTGTTATGAATTTTTATGGGTGTATTTTACACTTACATATAAAGGAAGCAACTTTTCATGTCCTAAGATAATCTTTCATTAATCATGAATTTACATAACTTCCGTTCAGGGGACGGGTACTCCAGCTAGTTATTAAATATTTTGTAATGTTTATTGTACCCCAGCTAGTGAACAAATATCTTGCTATGAAGTTTAGAGGTACGCATTGTTAAATGTTTATGTGCTAGATCCGAAGTTCAAAACTTCCAGGGCTCTCTACAAATAAAACGTGTTTTTCTAGCAACAGAACGAGGCCTAGCATGGCCTGGTGGTTAGGGCGCTCGACTCGCAATCTGCGGGTCACGCGTTCGAATCCCTGTCCCATGTTCGCCATTTCAGCCATTGGGGCGTTATAATGTTACAGTCAATCCCACCTTTCGTTGGTAAAAACAGTAGCCCAAGATGGATGTTGATAGCTAGCTGCCTTCCCTCTAGTCTTACACTGCTAAATTAGGGACGGCTAGCGCAGATAGCCCTCGTGTAGCTTTGCGCGAAATTCAAAAACAAACAATCATAAACCTTCGTAGTAGGAAGTCATTATGGCAATGTTCACTTAGGCTTAGCCTGCAATAATATGTGGTAGGTCTTTCTACAGCACTGTGGTTGCATTCGTGGTTTCTTTTTTTTGTTCGTTTGTTTACGCTATACGCATCCTTAACGCTGAATCACTGGGAGGCCAGGGGGGGGGGGCTTTGTGTAACTTTGCTCAAATGTCGGAAACAAATTATCCCATGTTTCCAACTAGATAGTTTTATATGATACTTAATATTCGATAACAAGCTATTCATATTATTTTTACATATTATAAAAATATAACCTTCGCGTTTATTTGATAAGCTGCCTTCCCTCTAGTCTTACACTGCTAAATTAGGGACGGCTAGCGAAGATAGCTCTCGTGTAGCTTTGCGCGAAATTCAAAAACAAACAAACTTTGAGGTGTCGTATACAGAAACTCGAATATCCAATATTTCCATCAATTTTAATAGCCATGCGCAAAGTGTTTACAGCCAATCAGCATAGCGTTACCTGTTCAGTAATAATAAGGGGTGAAATTCTGCCGGTACTCACCAATACTTATTTTTTAAGGCGGTACTAGTTCCGGAACTTTGTCGGTTTTTATGTTTACGCGTAAGCTTTTTTTCTTTTCAAAAAACTGGTGCGTTTCACCCAGCTGTGTACCCCTGGTAATAAGAATCCTTAGTTTAGATGTTAGATTTATATATCTGCCAAAATATTTATGTGAAACAAAACCAATGCCGACAGATGGCGCCAACAAAACATCACATTGTCGAGACATGATTATCCAATTTCGTTGCAAAGTTAAAACGTTTTTAATAGCTATACTGTACCGATACTCATTCGCTCTGAAGAAATAACCTGATAGGTTTAAACTCAAACATTTTTATCCACCCTGTAATTACTTGTTAAACCAGACAAAACATGTTTCAAAGACGTATTTAGCTTGAAGAGAACAGTTTTGTTGAAATGGACAGTCTACGTTTTTCGATTAGGTTTTACTGCGGAATAAAAAATATTATTATTATCTGACCACTCGGCACGTAAAAACCAGCAACGTTTCAATAAAGGGGTCAATCGTATAAAGATGTGATATCTACAAAAATAGTAATAAATAGTTGAATAAAATGTCAAGTTTTGTAACAGTAAGCTATACAAAAAAAAGTTGAACTAATAAGTTAAACAAAATATCACTAAGGCAAACTTGGATTCTCCTTTTCCCATTGCAACAGGAACTCCAAAAAAACGCGAATAAAAAGGAGATATATATATATATATAGTTTTTCTTTTTAATTACAATGTTTACAACCCGAAGCTTCATTTCAGTTATAATTTATTTATTATATTTTATATAAAACTGTTTTTAGCAAGCTATAGACTTATTTATCACCTGATCTGAAGGATTAAAAAAGCATTCAGTTAATTTTGCTTCTTAATTATCTAAATTAATTATTCCAATGTAACGCAACGTAATATTTAGGGACAACAAGAGACATATTGTTTCATCTAGGCTGTCCCATCCTATAAACCAAATTAGAAAATAAAAATCTTAAAGCCATCTCTTATCATTTATATACTTATCAAGCTTTCTCTTAAACTTACTTAAATTTAAAGCCTCTACAACATCTGAAGGCAACCAATTACAAAGGCCAACCACCCTTTTAGAAAAATGAAACCGTCTGCTGAAGATGACTCCTACCTTGGCAAAATTTATAATTATGTCCTGTAGCCCTACTATTCTCAGTGTTAAATATGAAAAAAAGATGATGCATCAACACTATCAATTCCCTTAACAACATAAAACATCTCAATCAGATCCCCTTTAACTTAATCAATGAAATTAAGAAAGAGGAAAATACAGTGTTGTTGGATAGATAGTGATACTACCTGCTGTATGTGAAGTCACAGTAGTGTCTTTCTTTAAAAATACAGTATTGTTAGATAGATAGTGATATTACCTGCTGTATGTGAAGTCACAGTAGTGTCTTTCTTTAAAAATACAGTATTGTTAGATAGATAGCGATACTACCTGCTGTATATGAAGTCACAGTAGGGTCTTTCTTTAAAAATATTGTATTGTTGGATAGATAGCGATACTACCTGCTGTATATGAAGTCACAGTAGTGTCTTTCTTTAAAGATAAAGTATTGTTGGATAGATAGTGATACTACCTGCTGTATATGAAGTCACAGTAGTGTCTTTAAAATATTGTATTGTTAGATAATTAGTGATACTACCTACTGTATA